ACCGGCCTGACGCCATGCCCCGGTAAAGTGCCTCCTCCTGCTCTTCGTCTCCTTGCGGGCGACCCCCGGCATGACGCGATCGGCGACCAGCGTGGCAAGCCGATGGCGGTCGAACGTCGTACGGCCCGCCATTGTCGAGATAGATCACCGTCGCGCTGTCGTCCGGGTCGGCCTGACGGAAGAAATGCCGCCAGACGAGCCGCGCTTCGCCGCCATGGGACGATCGTCACGTCGTCGTGCCGATAATATTCCACCGCCGTTGTGCCACGCCGCATTCCGGGACGGCATGGCAAAAGCGCGACCATGATTCCAGCGCCGCGACGCGCACGAGCGCACCATAAAGCAGCGCCTGTGACCATCGGACCAGATCAGGCAGCGTCGTGAAGACGCCCCGCGAGCCAAGGTATAGGCCGGCCACGAGGGAGAGACATAGGGCAGCGGCGGTCGATCGCGCTGGGGAGCCGGGCGGTAGCTCGACACGGTCCGGCAACCGGGGTTGCCCTCCATATGGTAGCTGGTCCGCGTCGTTCCGGCGCGAGCGAACTGACGCCCCGTCAAGTTCGTCAGCGGCGTTCGCGTCGCCTGTTCTAGCGCTTTGGCGAACAGGAAGTTTGTCTGGTTATACTCCGTTACGCGAGCACGGTGCGAAACGGAGCGGAAGCGTCGCGATGCTGAAAGGCCTGCTCGTCAATCGGCTCGACATGATCGGGAATATAGTCAGGTAGGGCCCGGAAAATGGGCCAAGGCCTGTAACAAGGTGATCCCGGCCCATGCTGATGGAAGACCAGCGCGTATCGTGGCTGATGATGCATCAAGGTTTGATCAGTCCGCCTGACGCGCCTTGAGCAACTCCATTATCACGAACAGCTTGGAGATCGAAAAGAGCGGATAGACGAGGCGTCGGTGATAGGAGCGCCCGTCTCGCGATCGGACAGCCCGGCATGACGCGAATAGACGAGCCTGCCGCGTCGTAGAACGGCGACGGAGTGGCCCACCGTGCCATAAGCATCTGCGGAGCGGTCGAGCAGGTCGTCGATCGCCGCAGAAGGCTCGGTCGCATGGACGGTCGTCGCCCACCCTATCGATGCCGTCAGGCCGGACAGATAAGGGCAAGAACACGTCGCCGGTCGGTATCCGGAAGATGGAATGTCTGTCGCAAAGATAGGCCTTTCGGAAGGATGCAGACGGTGTTCGGATCGGTTATCCTCCCCCCCGGCGCTCAGGCCGCATGACATTCTCTGACCTCGACTGACATCATGCGACCAACACTGTTTTTGGGCCTTTGGGTAGCCAGACATGATCCGCTTTCGCTGACTTTTGATCTCGACCCTGCCGCTTTGCGGATATGCCGCGATGGTGTGCCGCTTGATGCTTCGCCGCAAACCGTCGACGTTCTGGCCTTCCTGATCGTGAACCGAGCGAACGGTCAGCAGGCGCGAGTTGCTTGATCGGTTCTGGCCGCGTGGCGGTACGGGAGGTGACGCCGCCCTTAACACCTGCATCCGCCGCATCCGGACGCTGCTTTTGCGACGACGCCGAGACGCCGCGATTCATCCATACCTGACCGCGGTCCGGCTATCGCTTCATTGGCAGGGTCGTTGCGGACGATCGATTTGCCGGGAACCCGGCGAAAAGGGCCCGAGGGTCGGTCGATCCGCAAGGGTCAGCGCATTGTTGGTGCCGCCGTGATCGGCGGCGCGTATGGGCGCACGGCGCGATGTTCCCGGCCGCACAGGATCGATCGAGCCCGTGAGGGGGCTATGCGAATATGTGCTTTTCCCACACTTCAACGCCCACTCCGCGAGAGCTTGTGGCCGAGGTGAGCCACAGGCTTCCCGCCCACTATTCCGTGGCCGCCAATGGTGAAAAAGCCGATCTCCAGCGTGAGTGTCAGTGTCCGGCAGACGTCGCAACGAACGACCGTGGCTGTGACGCTGGCCGGAGGATGGTTCCGATCGCGTTGTGGTCCAGCCAGTTTTCCGCTCCAACCGACATGCAGGATTACGTGCCGCTTCAAGAGAAGCTGGCGAGAAGCATGGCGACCGGTCTTGCGCGGACAGCTGCTCGGATGAGTTGATATGCCATGTTACACCCGAGGCGGGTTCCGATTGTCACCGATCAAGGGTTTTAAGAGGCGTCCCGTCCTTTCTTTCTCGGTCCAATGGGAAAAGCTGCCGATGACGTGGGCTAATTCCAACCTCCGCAGGGTATCCTGCGGACGGTCGCAGCAGAGCCGCGATCGAAACGTCACCGCGATAGGCCCGATCTTCCGAAGGGCGCATTTCAGGTGCATTGCATCGATGCGGGTGCACTGCGCCGAATTCGACATCACGGCGCCGACCGGTGCAGGAACGGCATCGAGCAGCTCATCGACGTGATCGCCGGTCAGACGGCCTCGCTGCATCGCTCATCTCCATCTGACACGCTAAGTTGCCGATGGCATGATTTCCGGGGCCAGATCGGGCATTCCAGTTGCCGGGCCAAATCCCAGTGGCTATGACGTCGGCGAGGTGAGCCTGCGACCGCTCATGGCTGCCGTAAGGGGGGTGTTGATGGTGGCGATTCGCCATGGATTTTTGACCGCCAACCCAGTTTGGCACGGTTTAAATAATCGCAATGATCCAACATAGGGCCATGGGCCGTATAAGCCAGTCCGCAGTCCGTCGAAGGCGCGACATGAATGCGAAGCGTCGTGCCACCGACGAGCGCGCTGGCGATCCTTGCGTCGTTCTCTTGGTCGAGTCCCTGGTTTGCAAAACCCGTTTGCCCCGGCGGCATGGCTTGCGTGCTTGGGTCGGGGTTTATGATGTTTTGTGACGCCCGGGCAGCAGGGCGTCGCGTCGGCCATCGGCGCGGCGACGGCGAAGCAGTCGTCCCCTGTATCGGCCTCGGGGTCCCGGCGGCGACAGCGGGGTGGCGAGGAGGGCGGTCGAGAGGATGATGATCCATAAGCGGGTGTGGAGGATGATGAAGCCTTCCGGCGGCTCGAACGGAACATCGCCCTTTCACCCAATCGGCCGGTCGGACCGACTTAAATGAATTTCACGCAAGCCGACGAGGCTTGGGCGCAATGGGGCGGGCGGCTATGCCGATGGCATGGCGGCTATCCCGGTCATCGAAGACGACGGCGCGACCGCTGCGGCGATCATCGCCGAGCTGAAGCAGCATGGGCATGAGGTGACACATGCTGGCGATGGCGATGCCGGTTCGAGCTCGCGACCCGCGAGGCGTTCGATGCGATCACGCTAGACCGGATGTTGCCGGGGCTGGACGGTCGCTCGTGGCCCGGCTGCGCGAACGGTATATCCACCATTCCCGTGCTGATGCTGAGCGCGTTGAGCGATGTCGATGAGCGGATTGCGGGCTGCGCGCAGGGGCGACGATTATCTGACCAAGCCCTTCGACTTTGCCGAAATGGCGATGCGGGTCGAGGTGCTGCTGCGCCGCCGCGAGCAGGCCGAGGCCGTGGTGCTGCGCGGCGGAGGCATCGGAGTGCGACCTCGTCCGCCGGACCGTGAAGGTCGATGGCGAGTCGGTGCGGCTGCTGCATATGGAATTCCGCCTGCTCGAATTCCTGATGCGCAACCGTGGCGAGGTGATGACCCGGCGGATCATCTTCGAACGGGTCTGGGGCTGGCTATTTCGATCCCGGCGCCAATCTGATCAGCGTGCATATCGCGCGGCTGCGCAAGAAGATCGACCGGCCGTCGTTCCTCGCCCATCCAGACGGTGAAGGGCGAGGGATATTCGTTCGATGGCGGCTGAGCCGTTCCGCTGGCGTGACGTCGTCCGGATCAGCACCTTCCGCCTGTCGGCTATGCTGGGCGCGGTGTTCGTCACTGCCGTGATCGCCATGCTGGGCGTGGTCTATATCGCGACCGCGCGCGATCCTGACCCGTCCGCAGCGACCGCATCCTCCACGCCGCCGCCGGGCAATTGCTGCAGGTCCCGGCCGACGAACTGCCTGACCGCATCCGCGCCGAGTTGAAGCGTGATCGGTCCGGCTTCAACTATCTGGCGCTGATCGCGGCGGACGGCACCCTGATCGTCGGCAATGTCCGCCCTTTGCGTCCGCCAATCCCCGGCCATCCGGTCGATATCGAGAGCGGATCACGCGGGCCCTTCCCGCCCGGTCGCCCTGCGCACCCGTGAGAAGGAGACGCTGCTGGTCGGGCGACATCAGCCTGCTGCGCGATCTGCGAACACGGTTCTGGAGACGCTGGTGGTCAGCGGGTTGATGACCCTGATCTGCATCGGGACTGCGGCGATCGGGATTCAGCCGGCGCCGCTGCACCGCGTCCGGCGCTCCAGCGGCCAGCCGGGAGATTGCGGCGGGGATTTTTCGGTGCGGATGCCGATCGCGGGGCGGCATGACGAACTCGATCAGTTCGCCGCGACCGTGAACGTCACCGTCGAGGAGGTCGGCCGCGTCGTTGCGCAGGCAGGGGCGTGACCGACGCCATCGCGCACGATTTGCGCACACCGCTGACCCGCGTCCGCGCCACGTTGAATGCGGTCGGCCACCGGCCCGATCCGGCGGGCGTCGTCGCCGGGATCGCGCAGGCGACCGCCGACCGACCTGGTGCTCGAGCGTTTCGCCGCGCTGCTCCGGATATCGGAATTGAGGCGGGCGGCGGCGGGCCCAGGGTTCCGCTGCGTCGATCTGGGCGCTCGTCGCGCAGGTGGCCGAGCTGTACGAGCCTTCTGGCCGAAGACCGCGCCATCACCCTGTCGGTCGCCGCCAGCCCCCTGTCGGTCGCCGCCGTGCCCTGTCGGTCGAGGGCGACGACAAGCTGTTGTTCGAGGCGCTGAGCAATCTGGTCGACAATGCGATCAAGTTCGGGCGGCCCGGTGGGCAAGTGCATATCGCGCTGTTCGACGATGAGGCGGCCCGCGCGATCGAGGCGTCCGCGACGACGGCCCCGGCATCCCGTCCGAAGAGCGCGACGCGGTGCTCCATCGTTTCCATCAGGGGCACACACGCCGCCGGTGTGCCGGGCAGCGGTTTGGGCTTGAGCGTCGTGGCGGCGATCCTGCACCTCCACGGTTTTCGCCTGCGCCTGTCCGGATGCCGACCCGGGGCTTTGCGTGCGGATCGAGGTCGGGCCGGCGGTGGCCTGAGGCGCTGGCGGTGAAATTCATTTAATTCGCCTGCCGACCCGAATGGCGCGATGAGGCCCGGGTCGGCGATGCGCGACGGGTTCCCCACCCCCTGATCCCTGCGCCATCGCCGGCACCGCCTTTTCCTGACGGTCACCAGGACGCCCATGCTTCAGCTCGTCAAGCTCGCCCTCAGCAAACCTTATACCTTCGTCGTTCTCGCGATCCTGATCGTGCTGGGCGGCATCGCGGCGGTCGAGACGCCGACCGACATTTTCCCGACATCCGCATCCCGGTGATCGCGGCGGTGTGGACCTATCGCGGTCTGCCGCCACGCGACATGTCGGGCCGCGTCATCTATTATTACGAACGTTCGCTGTCGGCGACGGTCGGCGATATCGACCATATCGAAAGCCAGTCGCTGTCGGGCGTCGGCATCGTGAAGATCTTCTTCCGCCCCGGCGTCGACATCCGCACCGCCACCGCGCAGGTGACCGCCGCCTCGCAGACCGTGCTGAAGCAGATGCCGCCGGGCATCACCCCCGCCGCTGATCCTGAACCATAACGCCTCGACCGTGCCGATCCTGCAACTCGCGCTCTCCGGCAAGGCTGTCCGAGCAGAAGATCTACGCACCGGGGCAGAATATGATCCGCCCGGCGCTGGCGTCGGTGCAGGTTCGGCCATCCCGTCGCCCTATGGCGGCAAGGGCGACAGGTCCAGATCGACCTCGATCCCGCCGCCCTTCAGGCGCATCGCCCGTCCGCGACCGATGTCGCCAATGCGCTGGCGCAGCAGAACCAGATCATCCCGTCGGGCACGGGCCAAGATCGGCCCGAGTAGAATATAACCTCCGGCTCAACAACAGCCCGAGCGTCATCGACGATCTGAACGACCTGCCGATCAAGACGGTCGACGGAGCGACCGTGCTGATGCACGACGTGGCGCATGTCCGCGACGGTTCGGGCGCCGCAGCGCAACGAGGTGCGGGTCGATGGCGCGCGATCGGTGCTGATGACCGTGCTGAAGAGCGGTTCGGCCTCGACCATCGCCATCGTCGACTCCGGTCAAGGCGCTGATGCCCAAGTTGGAGGCGACCCTGCCGCCGGGGCTGAACGTCACGCTGCTGTCCGACCAGTCGGTCTTCGTGAAGGCGGCGGTGTCGGGGGTGATGCGCGAAGGCGTGATCGCCGCCGCGCCACCACCAGCCTGATGATCCTGCTGTTCCCGGGTTCGTGGCGCTCGACCGTCATCATCGCCGCGTCGATCCCGCTCGCCATCCCGGCGGCGATCGCCGGGTTGTCGGTGGCGGGGCAGACGCTCAATATCATGACGCTGGGCGGCCCCGCCCCTGGCGGTCGGCATCCCGTCGACGATGCGACCGTCACCATCGAGAATATCAACTGGCATCTGGAACAGGGCAGCCGGTGCGCGAGGGCGATCCCCGACGGCGCCAAGCAGATCGTCGGCCCGGCCTTCGTCTCGTTGCTGTGCATCTGCATCGCCTTCCTGCCGATGTTCTTCCTGCCGGGCGTCGCGGGCTTCCTGTTCGCGCCGATGGCGATGGCGGTGGTCTTCGCGATGATCGCCTCGTTCATCCTGTCGCGCACGCTGGTGCCGACCATGGGCAATTACCTGCTGCGCGATCATGCCGGGCCGCACACCGCCGAGGTGATGGTGGCCATGACGCGCAGGCGGGCCGCCCACAGAGCCGCAACCCCGTTCCGCCGTTTCCAGCATGGCTTGAGCAGCGGTTCGAGGCAGTGCGCGGCTATTATACCGGCCTCTCGCCTTTGCGCTGGCCCGGCGGCGGCCGTTCGTCATCGGCTTCATGGTCGTGGTGCTGATCTCGTTCGCACTGGTGCCGATGCTGGGGCGGAATTTCTTTCCCTGCGGTCGATGCCGGACAGATCAGCATCCATGTCCGCGCGCCGGTCGGCACCCGCATCGAGGAGACGGCGGCGCTGTTCGACCATATCGAAAACCGTATCCGCGCCGTGGTGCCCGCCGACCAGCTCGACACCATCGTCGACAATATCGGCCTGCCGGTCAGCGGCATCAACCGCGCCTATTCCAACACCGGCGGCGTCGGTCCGCAGGACGGCGACATCCTCGTCACGCTGAAGGAAGGCCATGCGCCCACCGCCGGCTATGTGAAGGCGTTGCGCGAGCAACTGCCGCGTGACTTCCCGGCTCGTCCTTCGCCTTCCTGCCCGCCGATATCGTCAGCCAGATCCTGAACTTCGGCTCGCCCGCGCTGATCGACGTGCAGGTCGCCGGGCCCGATACCAGGGCGGCGAGGCCTATGCGCGGATGCTGGTCGACAGGCTGTCGCGCATTCCTGGCTGGCTGATGTGCGCCTGCAACAGGCGTCCAACCATCCCGAATATGCGGTCGATGTGGACCGCGCCGAGCCAGCCGCCTCGGCATCACCGAGAATGACGTGACGCGCAGCCCTGACCGTCAATCTGGCCGGCAGTTCGCAGGTCGCCCCACCTTCTGGTTGAATCCCGAAGAACGGCGTCTCCTATCCGATCGTCGTCCAGACCCCGCAATATCGCGCCAGCACCGTCGAGCAGATCGACAATCTGCTGATCACGGGCAGCGCGGGGGCAATGTCCAGACGCTTCAGGCGCTGGGCACGCTCCACCGCGAACCCAGCCCCGCGCTCGTCTCGCATTATGCGGTGCAGCCGGTGTTCGACGTCTATGCGACGACGCAAGGTCGCGATCTGGGCGCGGTCGCGGCGGACATCGACAAGGTGCTGGCGCCACCAAGGGCCGGTGCCCAAGGGCGCGACCGTCGCGATGCGGGGACAGGTGGAGACGATGAACACCGCCTTCACCGGCCTGATCCTCGGTCTCGCGGGTGCGATCATCCTGATCTACCTGCTGATCGTCGTGAACTTCCAGAGCTGGATCGATCCGCTGGTGATCGTCTTCGGCCCTGCCCGCCGCGCTTGCCGGGATCGTATGGATGCTGTTCGCGACGCATACGCCGCTCAGCGTGCCCGCGCTGACCGGGGCCATCATGTGCATGGGCGTGGCCACCGCCAACAGCGTGCTGGTGGTCGCTTCGCCCGCGAAAGGCTGGCGGCGTGCGGCAACGCGATCCGTGCGGCGATGGAGGGGCGCCACCCGCTTCCGCCCGGTGCTGATGACCGCGCTGTCGATGATGATCGGCATGGCCCCATGGCGCTGGTCTGGGCGAGGGCGGCGAACAGAATGCGCCACTCGGCCGTGCGGTCATCGGCGGGCTGCTCTGCGCCACGCTCGCCACCTTGGTCTTCGTTCCCGTCGTTCGCCATCGCGCACCGCCGCGACAAGGCGGCCGCCCTTCCACTTCCAACGACCTGTCCTCGGAGAAGCCATCCATGCATGATGCAGCCCCGACCCCCCGCTGTGTCGGCCGACACCCCGCGCCCAAGGGCCTGAAGATCGCCAGGCTGACCGCCGCCATGCTCGCGATCGGCGTGGTCGGCCCGGTGCCCCTCGCCCGGTCCCATGATGTCGCGGCG